TTAATTAAACATTAACACAGTTTTACTGTCAAACAGCATAATTTATTGAAATTTGCTGGTTTGATCCAATGTATACAACTCTTATTTAGGAACCATATCTTTCCAATGATATGTGCAAGCATTTTAGGCGGGTTCATGTAAATATGGAATATACACATTAGTAATTACTCATACAATTGGTAAAATCAAATCATTTTAGAGATCATATTGTGTTCTTTAATAGTCTTGTATTAAAAGTATATTACGTTGGTGCGCGGCAAAATTAATGACCGTAGCATGTCGATGTCTTATCCTGCGAAGTTTAGCTACTAGGCCAAAGGGTTCTTGCAGTGAACAATTTCAGTTGAATTGCCTTTGCTAGCGAAAGATCCGGGAAGAAGTGGAGATCTGTGAGTAATTCAATATCTCTCACGGTTGCCAGCTCTAGTTGTAGGTAACGATCTGGTTCCTGAAATCAAAACAACATATGTACTTGTAAATCATTGTTTACAACATACAATGATTAGTATGAAATTATTATGAGGATACCTGGAGTCTGAGTGCATACTTTGAGGTATCCTCGTAATAGCCTTATTATTATACTTCCAAGGACATATCTTGGAAATGCCGAAATTCAAAAAGTTTAGAACAGAATCAGCGAATTTCTTCGTTGGGAGTCCGGTCAAACCCTAGTGGCAGCCATGTTTGTTTGTATTATTAGGGGACGCTTCAAATTTGTTGTTATGTTATTGGTCTTTTACATTTTACACGTAAATTTGTTAACATGAATATGCAAGTGAGGTAATTATGGTTCTAGTTGAAATTCATCGAACAAGCCTGAGTAGGAATGAGTTCAGTGATAAATAAATAAATAAATAAATAAATAAATAAATAAATAAATAAATAAATAAATAAATAAATAAATAAATAAATAAATAAATAAATAAATAAATAAATAAATAAATAAATAAATAAATAAATAAATAAATAAATAAATAAATACCTGACAAGTTTCAATGCCATCACTATTACGGACTATGAACGGGAGTACTTCAAGATCTTCGGCACACTCAACACCATACTGTGTTTCCCCAGGACAACGGGTAACTATGACGAAATGGTGACTGGGCACCAAACTGCCAGACCCAAACTTCACACTGTCTCTATAAACCAAACAAGATAATTCAAACAAAAAATAAACACATGTACATAACATTAAAGGAAACTGCAATTCTCGAATATGACGTGGTGGAGCTTGTCGATTACTGGGAAGAAATTACATCATGGCATTTTGTTCTGAAACTTGAGAGCACACTTACGTATAATTCAATCTTAATAGTGCATCATCTCTAAGTCCATCAAAACTATAGTCAAAAATCGGTCCCGCAATGACATTGACACCATTGTACAAATCAGCCCACTTTATTATTTTCTCAGTCAAGTACGTCCATATATCTTGATAAAAAATAATATATAAAATATAAATGAAAGAATCTGAAATGAATCAGTCGTCCCTTAGTCCCGTAAATAATAATTTCTATCCAACAATATGTGTTACTAGTATATGGTGTTTAAGTTAGTAAATGTATCACTGTAGTCTAAGTATTACTGTAATACAGTAGTGAAAGTAATACTGTGTCGCAGTGGTGTAGTGCAAGTGTTATTGTTAAACAACTATAACTGTAGGGGAAGTATATGGTACTACAGTTTCAGAAATATTACTGTAATGGGAGTTTATAAAACTCTTAGAAATGGGGTTGCCTAAATGCCATACCACTTGAATGTACAGTCTCTGCCGATATGACATGTAGGTTGTCATCAAACACATGCTCAGAAACATGAGACAATTCACAAACAAATCATACCATGAGGTTGTTATGCTATGTCGCATGCGTTTACAAATTCACAACTTAAATTCCTCTTACTATTTTTACAAAATCTTGTTTCATTTATTGAATTGTTGAATTCTCCATAGGTCATTTCCGTTCACCGCGTCAGATACCGAGTTACACGTGAAATCAACAGTCAAAACAGGAAAAACAAAGTTAAGGTCATAGTGTGTAATGACGTAAACACATCACATCAGGTTTGACAAATGTAAAAGTATTTGGGGATATTTTCACATACAGGTGATGATGGTCGGAGTTGATGAAGTAGGGATATCCCAACACAAAACTCCTCAATGAAAGATTGGCATTTTGATATTGAGCTATAACACAAAAAAATCAAGTCCAAAATCAAATCATTAATAATTTTAAAAAGATAGTTCTTCCACGTTCACACAGTCCTCTAGATCTTACAGTGAACAGAAAACCACCTGTTATGGTTATTGTATTATATTATATAATTATATACTGTAGTGAAGGTATATGTTTAATAGAAGTAATAATGTCATATTACACGCTGTGCTGCATTCTTACTTACCTGCTATATATTTTGTTGAGAAAGGCACCATATTTGATGTTATGAGAGCATCCATCTGTTGGTCGAGTTTTTCCCAGAGACCTATTAAAAAGACCTATTATTGACATATTCTATATGGCATTACATTGACCATAGTGTTACACTGCTCATGGCAATAACCTATTTGGTTAGACTAACCATGATGTACACTGCCAACAGTGTTGTAACACAATCTATATGGTAACACTCTCCACCATGACATTATACTGCCCATGGTATTACACTGGCCATAGTTCAGAAATTAGATTTCTTTTTTATCGCTACAATACAATAGTGACAATGAGAACAAACTTGTTTGCAATGCCGGCCTTTTTCATTTCCAGGTGGTGACTGGAACACTTATGCCTTTAAAATTGCCAAATTAAATTTTAGTTTGAAGGTACCAAAACTTGAAATGTATTTCGTAACCGTCCATAGTTTTCAATATATCATATTAATGACCAAAAACAAAACAATATAGCAGGGCATGCACAACCTATAATTACAAGTGTGTACATCCACACAACAACGGCATAGCACACATTGAAACAACTATAATTGACATCTGTTCCCAACTAACTGTTAACATCTTCAAAACCAAACTCAAATCTTACCTGTTTCAGCAAGCCTATCTGTGAAATAAAGCAGCGTCATTGAGCATCACTGCGATGGATACTAGGCGCTATATAAACTTGTATTTGTTATTATTATTTGACTCTCAGATAAAACAGTCACAATTGATAGCCAAAGAAAACTTAGAAAGGACTCCTTGCGTGCTAAGAGTATTGGAGACATTAAAAATGAATTAGCCTTCCAAACAAGAAGCTTGGCTGCTTATTTGAGATGTATAAGTTTATAATACTTACAGAAAACAGAATTTTACATCTGTGGTTTTCAGTTCAATTTATTCCAGAGCACCTCTACCACAAGTTTTAATCTGATTTTTTGAGTAATGATTAATTCTTTAAAAAAATCGATTGAAAACCGGAAAGTAAATTATTATGCAGATTAGGTTGGAGGTATATAAACCCAAAACTAATTAGTTGCATTGTCTTAAAAGTATTTATGTACCAATATTCATTGAAATAAGTATTTGAGATATTGACGGTAAAGGTAGAAACTGACAAATTATTATGCAAATCAGGTATTTAATTTGCGCAGATTTTAATGTAAAACTAATAAGGTATGCACAATGTCACAGACCATCAATGTACCAAGTTTTATCAAGATCCATTGAAAAGTTAAGGAACAACCAAAACTTAGCTAAAAATCATGCAAATTAGGTAATTAATATTCATCAATTTAAACCAAAACTTAATCAAATCTGCCTATTAGCCCAGATAATCTATGCATAAAGTTTCATCAAAAACAAAAATATGGTTCTTGAGATATCAGTGGAACAGACAAACAGACAGACAAGCACACATACAGAAAGACACGCTAACTGAAATGACTTGATTACTTTAACATTATGCATTTCCCAGAGCTTCTTATTTTATAGGCGTCCCTTGGACTTGTGATTAATTTCAAATATTTTCAGTACCAATCGAATGACTTGGATATTTGTAAAGTACAAATAATGAAATAAATTCTCATAACATTATTGATAAATGATAATCCCTGCACTGGTTAGAATAACAATAATAGTAAATCTAACAATAATAAAAAGAAGCTCGAAACTCTAAACTCATTGTGCTAACTAGGATTAATTTCAGATAATGGATGCTGTGGCAGTTATTCTTCAAGATATATGATCCAGTTGGAACACATTTTAATTTCAGTAAAATATTTTGAAAAAAGACATATGTGATCATGTTTGTCAGTTTATTTGGCCTCAAAGTGCAAGTCAAGACTCTGCTTATTTGTGTTTTTTGACTTACTAATAACCATACTGATTCAAATTATGAGTGTTAAAATGTACCATCCTTATACATGCGTCTGTGGCAGAGTTATTTTCAATGGGTATGGAATTAATTTATTATTTGAGTTAATAAACAACGCACACGTATACGTAACATCCAGATACTGTGAGGAGTTATCGTCTGATTATCTAAGGTTTGATTGAGAAGTGTGTTGAACTTTGTGTGGTGTGTTACAGTCTCTGGGGGAACACGGGTTTCTACTCACGAAAACCACAAGTTTTCTGAAATTCGGGCTAGAATCCTACGCATTGGAGCCTAATTACCGTAAATCAGGTATCAGGGAAAAGTGAAAGGCCTTAATTTGGTTCTGAAATAGGCGTCACGAGAAAAATCTCAAGATGACAAAAAAAATGCTTATTTAATGTAATATGCATTTATTTTTTGGATTTTGTTGGTAATTTAAAGTATATTCTAAAAGAAGTTTCAAATAAAAACAAACACGAATGCGTTGTTGAGTACTAGCAAATGGTCACGGTAGTGGCACAGTCACAAGTGAATAACTTACTTTTCGAAGTGTTGCAATTGTTGATTATCACTCTGTAGTGATTATAATAACGTACAAAAAATAGATTTGTTGAATTGTTATGAAATGCAAGAAAAATTTTACTTAGTTTCATCGTAAGCAAACGATTTCAGTCGCATGTGAATGCCCGATGCGGTACAACATCCGCCATGTTTTTCCATATACGAGATGAAATTGTGTTTTTTGACCTGGTAAGCCTGTGGCTAACTGAGCATTGACGATTTTTTTTACCGTGATAACATTGTCATTGTCAAAGCGAAAGTTACCCCATCACGCCATGCAGCCACAATAAACCATACTCAGACTCTTGAATAGGCGTGAATGACTGCGGGAATACCCTAAATTAGAATTAAATTTAGGCGTCAGGAAGATTGAAATGTTCGAAAATGACGCCTAAATTAGAGATTTTACTTAAAATGAATTAACTAGCCTGACAGAGTCAAATATGAAATTCGTACCAATGTTTGCCTCCCACACAAGACCTCTTTTATTTAGGACATAAAGTGAAAAACGATTGTCGTTTTTGCACCCATAATATTTGCAGGTCTGTATCTTTCTGGAATACAGCTTTGCACAAGACCCGTAAATAAATTCACTGATTTCCAGGTAGTTTGCTGACAACGAGAAAGAATCGTGACCCCCAGAAAGTTTTTGAGTGTACCGTACTTAAATTGTCAGTCATAACCGCGTAAGGGCGTTTTTATTTAGAAAAATGGCGATGTACGTATTAAATTCAATACGCACACAATTTTCAACAACAACAAATACACATTTTAATCAACAGCATATAATATTAGGCAACTATAAAAAATCACAACATTGACCTTCCTTTTAACACACGTTGTTTAGTCATTGACTATATATTTTTGATACAATGGGTCAACGGGCGAAATAACATGAAGTACACTCATAACTCATCTCAGATGACGTCACTTTTACTGGAAATCCAAGTATATACTTACCTGGTGTCGCGAGAAATCCGGTTTGATAGGCAGAACCAATGTAATCAGCACAACTAGCAGTGTTTGCATCATCCACACGCACATCGGCTCTTACACAGTTCTCGGGAAAAGAATGTCGTACACCGCCGTCTACCTACAAAGTTTACGTAACATTACGAATGTACCAATGCAGCATTCATTCGAATTTCACAAACAATACATTTACATGCGCAATATAGAAGAGGACAAATGCAGCGTGTGTGGCGCTTTCTGGTTTGATTCACTAGAGTCTACCCCCAGTCACGTGATTCTAGAGGCACAAGTCATTTCATAGAAACAAGGGTGAGGTTAATCAAATTTCCTTACATGCCTCGTTTCAACAATGTCACATAAAATAATGGCTACCACTAAACAATGATTTTCGATTAACGATTTACGATTTGTGATCTTTTCATAGATAAAGCTCACACTTTTTCAATAAACTTTGAGATAATAAAATTATTATAAATAGTAATGAATTTACTTTGTATCAGGTTTAATGTTTAGGTTGATATATTATATATCAATTTACCCCAATGCTAATGCAAAGGCATGTTAAATTACATTTAACTTACGTTAAAGTTGAATTACATTGTAACAGTTTAATTAACTATAATTATATTTCCTATTCGATCTTAGTAATGAAAAGCAATTGAATTGTAAATAAATTGCATTCTCCAAAGTCTTAACACTGTCCTTGGTGTGAGATTCCGCTTGAGGTTGTTTCTTTTGTAGCAGATTTTTACATAACAAAAATCTCAACGAGCCCCAGTCTCAGTTAATAGATAATAGGTGAGTAATTGAAAACAAATTGTAGGGTCAACCATAGCGGACGTCTCTTGAAAACAAATGTCATAAAAGCGTTTAGAAACATTCCACTTGCCTGTCTGTCAAAAGTATATGCCATCCAGAGTGGTACTTTGTGGAGATTGTCCACCACGCCCACGTACTCGTACTGTGTAACCATGCAATGTATGGAATCTGTAAAATTGATGTTAGGTACCCCAAATGGAAGATGTTTTGCATGCGAATCCGTGACTGTAGAGAAAACAGAACATGTGGTGCAATTAATGTTGTCTGCCAAACTTCAAACTGATACATCGTGCATTGCCCATTTTACTGGAATTGAAGAATAGGTCGCCTTTATAGGGTTATATTTTATAGAAAGGTCTATTCCGGTTGTTGTGCAAAACTCGATCTGGTAACTTTGGCAGTCAATCTTTGTGAAGTGATTGGAGAATTGAGCTAGCAAAAACATCATGCGGAAAGAGCGTGGACACATAGCAGTCAATACACCACATGGAGTAATCATGATAACACATGCAAGGGAATCATATAGCATAAATGAGGTGATACGAACCTTCAGTTTGTGTCAGATCGAGTCTACTGTCATATACCTCCAAATCCTGATTCAAAAAAAAAAAACAACGAATTCAACATTGGTAGTGTATGTTAATATGATAATCATAAATTCTGTAAGAAGTTTGTTCACGATTGCCAATGCACCATTATCCGAATCACGTTCACAGTGATGAACATTTTATGTGACGTCAACATTACGTTTTTGGGTAAATGTAATGTCGCTCAAACGGTCCACTGCGTATGGTTTATGTAGTCGTTAAAATACACAATAGAGTAAAATATCTGAAGACAGATCAAAACGGTATCGGCGATTTGAATGGCCTTGAGTAATCCAATACGTCACAGAAAATCTTCGACACTAGAGAGCACGACTTATAGGCAAGATGTATTAACGTACCGCAACTGCGTCACAAGTACATCCGGAAGAATCCTCTAGTATTCTCGCCTCATAGTCAGCTGGATATGTACAGGCAGTTTTTTCTTGTACAATTAATGTTGGTGCTACCAGAGGCTTGGGATTCCGTAATATGTGACTCAGGCTACCGGTGGTGGCGTTGTTCCTCGATTCAGGTATACCTAATATCTCTGAAATAAGAGTTAAAGATTAAAGATTTGGAGACGGATTATGTCAACATGATTTGCGTGAAAAAATATTATCTCCCAGTATCAATATATACAAGAAACTGGAAGACTTGTTGAGAAGAAAAATAAAAATTAGACACCAAGAGAAAAACAAGAACAAGGTGTTGCAAAAACAAATGTCGGCACGTTTAAGAAAAATAAAAATGTACGTATGAAACTCTCTTTTTCCACCACCCCACAATTTCAACCAACACTGCACTGTTTATTTACCTGTCATCAATGGATATAATTCTATTGCCAGGAATGGATCGATGGCCATATTCTGTTTAAATGATGGTCCATGGGCGAGAAACAAAGACTGCAGGTAAGGACAAATGTTTTGTTAATATATACTGAAGGGAAGACCGTGAATTACAGTTCACATCGACCCCAAACCCAACCCTGGCATACATATCACTGGGTAGTAGATTTCTACCGCCTATCGATGATCCATTGTGTTGAGAGGTGAGCCTCGAGTTTCAGAGTTTCAAAGTGGCCAGCAACTACAAGATATTTATTGTGTTGCTAGTCTTAATGTGTTTTCATCGGCGAGTTCTCAATCCAGTTTGCGAGATTAAAAGGGCGGTGGTCGTCAAACTTTGTTGCACAGACCAACGAGTACAAACTGAGACATTGCCAACTTTAATTAGGTATTTTTTTGCGTTTGGAAAGCATCCAAGGAGTCACCCGCGGTAATTATTGAACGTCACGCCTCAGTCAAAACTCATGCTCTTGATTTCATTGGATTGTGGGGAAATCAATGTTTATCAACACAAATGTCGTACTTGCGCGGTGCGACGATCACCGCGATATCGTTGAAGACAGTGCACATTGTGTTGTAAGCCAATTAAAGTACAATTGATTGCAGTCAAATCTAAAAACAACGAACTGAAAAATACATATAAATGGTTGTACCTCCATTTGTATTCCTTTGTTGTTGAAGCCATGGGTACCACCACTACAGTATTCTTCTTTGTAAGAACTGTCATTTCTCCTATGAGTAATAATTCAAGTGAATAACTTATATTGCAATATACAAGATCGATTGAACAATCTAACCAAACTTGAATGTACTTTACATTCGACATAAAGTTGATTCCTGATGCCAACACTTGAGGAAAAAAAGGTAACAAACCCGGAAATAGTCCAGCCTACGTCAGCAACCACTATTGATGGCTCAATTCGTACATTGTTGGCATAGTGCCAATTCTTTGGTAAGTCCCATTTAACGTAACTGGTGATATTCGGATCCTGACACTGAAATATACATGATTGATAAAATCACTCACCCGTACAATATTTATTATGCATATGTATCATCAGTGATGGCGACAATAAACAGAGCTATGATTGATGGAAAAGTGTTTATTATATGCCTAATAAAATGTATTAAACTAGTTGATGTATTACCTGGAAGGAAGCCACAATTTCATCTGGGTCGGATATTACCGCTGTGAAACAAGAAATGTGGTCATTTTAATAACCGCCTTCTGGCACGAATAATAATACATTAAATGACAATCTAACTGCCAATGAGCATTTAAATAAGCCAATTGTGCATTTTAAAAGAAGCGTATAGAGCCAGTCTGAATAGTAAGTACTGTAAAATACTATTATTTTCGCTTGGAATTAATTTTCGCTATTTTTGCTGATATGGGGGAATATTAAAAATATACTGGCCAATGAGGATCACTAATGAAGAAATCATACAACGTGAAAACATTCAAACAATAAATGAAATTGTAAAAAAAACAGGCGGTGGAAGTGGATTTGACATGTGTTACTCGTGGAAAGGAATGGCATATCAAGCATCGCTTTAACAAGCGATTGATCAAAATAAATAATTCTCTTCT